CACAATGCATAACTGACAGCAGAAAGCCCCTCCAGACACTCAAAGGCAACATTATCATGGTCATCCTTTCCAGCATTAGGCATACTGAGAATTAAAATCATTACAAGACTAAATAGGATTCAGATCTAATGCTGCTATGTTCAGGTCCTACTGTTGACTGACATTTATTATATGAAATTGAATTTGCCACAATTTGCATTTTTATTCTACTTTTATAAGAAATATCTGTGATAAAATTTAAAATACAAATGTGGAGAATGCAATTTTTTTACAGTCTGTAACTATTTTTTTTAATTCGCTTAGTGCGGGGTGGAGTCCAACTGGGTCCACTCAGCATGGCAGCCACTGATTTGCCTATTGTAGCCTACCCCAGGTGATTATGATGATAGAGAATTTGGTGGAATGAAGATTGGCAGGGGAAACTGAAGTACTTGGAGAAAACCTGCCCCAGCACCACTTTGTCCACCACAAATCCCACTTGACCAGACCCAGGATCAAACCTGGGCTGCCATGGTGGGAACCCAGCAACTAACCACTTGAACTATGGCGTGGCATCTGTAACTAGTTACTTGTTCATAGAAAACACAGCATATAACTTATGGAATACTCCTACATTTGTATTTGTGCTGAATGTGTGCAACACTTTCTTCATGTGTCAGTTATTCAATGAAAGGTTCCACTGCTGCATAGCATCAGGTTTAGAACCCGGGCAAGTAGACGAGTAGTTTAACAGATTGTTCACACTCAGTGTGTAAAGTACTATGCAACTGTTCAAGCAACACCAGAGAGTTGATGACAAAGTTTGTTTTGTGTTACTTTGCAGCTTGATACTGGTCTTTGACTGCAGGGTTAAACAAGTGAAAGCAGACTGGAAGCTGAAGAGCAGTTGCTTCTGATATCTGACACTGTGTATTCTGGTAAAAGTTTATCAGTACTTCAGAGAAATATACTGTCTTATAAACTTTGAAATTAAGCAAGCGTCAAGGAGAATCTTTGCTTGCTGCCAGCTTGGCTTACTCTTCAACCCTCAAGATGGAGACAGTACATTCCTTTGGAATGTCAGCATACATTTGTACCAGACTACATGACATCACAATCCCAAAAGACCATATTCTCCATAGTCATAACCATGAGAATCTAAGATCCCACAAAACAATTGTTTTTTTTTGTGGATATGTATGTAAAAAAACAATTTTTAGAACATTCATGCCTATGTATAATAATTCAGGCACATATGATTGGTATGGTTTCAAATAAAAGCTACATGTTTCTTCATTGAGTTATTTTATGGTGCTCTATGTAGTGCTGAAGCTGAACGACAGATTGTTAATTCACACAGCTATCTTCAACTCGAGTTCAAAGTTCTTGGTCACCAGGAAAAAATTAAGTTTCTTTTGGGGGGGGGCAGAAGTAACTAGTAGTTAGCTGATTCTCTGTGGAATCCTTCTTGAGAAGTTAAGAGTCACTCAGCTGATCAAGAAATCTCGTGCTTTTCATAGAACCAAAAGATCAATCACCATGTTCACTAGAACCTGCCACTATCCTGACCCAACTGAATCAGTCTACATCCTCATACTGTTTCCTTAAGATTCATTTAATATATATAATTTTTTATGCCACTCGCTTTGATACAAAACTTGACATTTATGACAATTGTGCTAGTTAATATAGTTCAGTGGGTATCTAATGCACTCATGATAAACAGTCACAAGATATGAACCATATCTCAAAAAGTTAAGTAACCTACTTCTGACATTTCTGACTGTGCATCCATCTTCATCATATCTTGATGACTTCTTTCCAATGAACTTCCTCGCACAGGCACTGCTGATGGTCCTCCACTGCTGCCTGCATGATGCAGGGGCTTGCGACCACGGCTACTTCCAACAACACTATGGCTTGACACTGGTATTGCTTTCAGAAATATGGAAGTGACAAATATAATTATTATAGCATTTGTTACATGCAAAATACTTGTCTTTAAATAATAAACTAAATTTTAATTTTTCTGTGAAACTGGAACTTAGATATTAAAACTTGCAGATGCTGCCAAATATGTTTAGTGTTATTTCCCTCTTTGTTATGATGGCTGATACTTGAAAAAATGCAAAATACTTCCAGTAGTATAAGCCAAAACAAACACTGGAAATATATATTACTTAAAGTAAAAGAGACACAGGATTCAAAGAATAGTGAAAGATTAAAATGAAAAATTACTTGGTTGGTTTGATGAAAAGAAACTGGTAATTAATTATGTCATATTAAAGAGAGATGGGAAACTATGCACAGCAAATACCTCCTTAACACTTCGCGGACCGGTGATTTAAATATTTAAATCACCCTGGGGACTGGCATTTTTAAACATACTACCATAACTTGTGCACTGTTCACTTTAAAAATTAATATAACATCTCCTAATTAATTTTTTTAACTAAAATTTCTGGAGAACACTTACCAATGCTCCTAGAAGTGCTTGAGGGTGTGATATTTCTGGAAACTTTCCCCTTTGTGAAGTGGCATTACACAGAACTTGCAAATGTAGTCATACTCCTTTTTTTGTGAACTGTGCAAACATGGCATTGCCTAGAAGTATTCTTCCCCTTGGAATGTTCACTCTTCACAATTTTCATGAGGGTATTTTTCTGCATATCACTCAAGAGTCGCTCTGGGGGGTCCACATGAGGCCTTCGTGCGGTGGGAGTTGATGGGCCCGGTCGTACTAAGTCTTTGTGTGACCTTGGTTCTGCCGCCACCATCTGGACTGTAGCCCAGGCCTTTGCCACATTCATCAGAAATGCTTTGTATTTCAATTATGAATCAGGGTTTAGATTTTTTTTAGATTTTTGCTGTCCCCGCAATGTTATTACCCGCATTATCGTCGGAGCTGCTGTCACTTTTACTGTATGTGGCCACAATTCTTTGTTGTCCTCCATCACCGTCGCTGTCTGAATGACAATTAATCCATTACTACCCGTCTCACAAGGCAGGTCAGCTAGGTCATCGGAGGAGAATTTGTCCTTGATCCATTCTCCCCATTAGCTACTGGCTGATACACACAGCTTGAAGAAGGCAAAGCATTTTCCTTTATAGTTGGTTAAGTAAACAGCGAGGTCAAGTTACTGCCTGCTAACTAAACATTCCAGTCTTATCACGCATCTGCAGGTGGCGCCAGAGCGATGTATAGTGTGTTGCAACTTATCGTATTCTAAAAACCTGTTAACACGCGAACAGTCCGCCATGTTTAGAAGCGAAAAACCTTTTAAAGGGTGCATGGTCCGCAAAGTGTTAATATTGGAGAGAGAGAGAGAGAGAGATGTAAGAGAACAAATAAACTACATAAGAAAGTATGGTATTTACATACATTTGGCTACTTTTTTCCACAAGTTCATTGGAAGCACTGCTCAACAAAGGATTATCTTAAATTATTCTACTCATGTACAGTAAATATCAGCATAAAAATAATTAACACTATCACAAAATGTGCTGGAAGAATTTGCTTATAGGATGTATTTGTAGTATGCTGCAACATTGTGTAATCTGATACAGCCTAATATGAAATAAATTTCTCCAATCAGGATCACTTGTGTACCTGAAGGAATAGGAGTAGAATCACTTCTTTCATTTCGACGTTTGTACCGACTGTCAATCTCATCTGGAGACTCAAAGTCCATCAGCTTTGATGACTTCTTTCGCACGCGTCCTGATCGTGATACACCGGTCACTTCCAAATCTGTGAGTAAGAATAATGATGATGATAACTTGCACCTCTAAATTTCATAAGTGCAGGAAGTAAACAATTAAAAGTTACATTTTGTAAAATAATATCAAACTGTATAAAGGAAACAAAATGAAAGATAAATACCTATCAGGGGAAAAGGAGATTGAATAAATATGCAATTCAGTCCATAGTACTGATAATTAATTATTTGACCAATAAAGAACTTTTGTGTAGCTGTCACTCTGGAATTGGATCGCCTCTGTGGTCTAGTGGTCAGAGTTCCTGGCTACAGATCCAGAGGTCCATGTTCCATTCCCGGCACTACCAGATTTTCTGAGAAAATGTGGATCTGTACATCCACTCCCCTATACGCCTTCATGGCATAGTGCTTAATTAGTTAAGCACAGGGACAATTTTACCTTTACCTTTAGTATTAAATGGAAAGAGTAGAACAAGCTGTGAAACTTAGCTGTAGAATACATTAGATATTCAGGATTATTTGATTTTTGGACTTTGTCCATTATTTTGTATTCTAAAAACATTTCAGAAACTGGATCTGTTCCTATCCTTAGGTAAGGGGATGGGAGACACTGTTGGGTCCATTAGAAGGAGCTGGCCTAATGTACACATTAGATATGATTAGCTGTGATGTCTTTTGTGTAAGCAGCCATGGCAAGACGGTCGACTGTCCAAGATTCTGTTGCATATATCCACCACAAAAGCTAGAAATCTTATAACTTGTCATTAAGCTCCTGGATTGAAGCTGCTGTATGAGAATTGCTTAATTTACGTTAGTTTTAACCCATTTCGATGCAGTACCCTTTAGAGCCAACACACTTATGCAACTGCTCTGGATAGTTTTGGAAGCAATCAATTGTCATTTTTATTTAAGGTTAGTTGGATCATCACAGCCTTTTCTTACCAAATCAAGTGTTTCTGAACTACTGGCCATTTAGACAAATTTTGATACTGGAGAAGACACCAGTTAATCATAATACCAAAGGATGAAGTTGCTCAGTCACTTTCTGTACTCCACATTGTCCAGACTGGCTCTGGGGCCTACTCAGCTTATTTCATGGTTTCTGGGAACTCTTTCCCTGGGGGGAAAGCAGCTGGGGTGTTAAGTTGACCACTCACCTCCATCTGGTGCTCGAGGTCAAGAATAACAGAGCTATACCTCCACTGCCCCCATGTCTGCACCTAATTAATTAATGCTCCAATTCAGACTCACATGTGGTACCTCCTAAATATCACATATTAATACATAAGCTCCTCATTCAATTATAATATGCTGAATGTGGCTGAAAAACTTGATATACATTTCTTCTAACCTGTAGTGTGTGTAGGGGGGGGGAGACAAGTAAAAAATTGTCAAATGAGGTGTGCATTCAAAAAATTCTCCAAAAGCTCAAATGAAAACAGAGTTAGGTCACCAGAGCACAATATTTCTCACTTGATGACACAATGAAATTATGTTCAATACATCAGTGCAGAAACTTTGAAGTGTTTCTTCCTCTCATGTTAAGCAATGTTTACCAATTGAACACCTCCACATCATATCGATATACAACATTCAATAACTTTCAACCACTGACAATTACAATTTGGGTAGGGAAAGGTACCTGCAAAGTGTCAGAACTCATCTGCCAACATTTCATTAAGCAAGAAAATTACACGAATTCTTCCTCAACATCTGGTCCAACAGTACTGAAAACACTGGCTGACACTTTGCACAATCAGTTGAAAAGAAGAAATTGTAATCTGCCTAGTTTTCTCTTTATTTCTTGATTTTCAATACACATTTCATTTTAAAAGCCAATATATAAATTTGAAACCATCTCATATGTTACTGCACAAACTAATGTAATAGTAAACACGTCAAAACAGACATTAGGTATCCAAAAATATGTAATGGAAAACACTCCGTCCCACGTGGTACATGGCAATCTCATGATGAAGTGTTACAAAGAACTTAATTGAACTTCCTCTTTTAATTACAAAAACAATTTTCTTGTCCATGAATTATCATAAATTAAATTAAATTTGATGAATATCCTTCCATACACCTTCATTACTCAAAACACAAAATCACACATAAAAACTGTTGCATTAGAGGCAAACTTTCTTACATTCTGACCACTTATACAATACTGAGTTTGGCTCTCATAATGAGAGCTCTAAACTTAAACTTGTTGACATCTAGGTTGCATTCCTTACCAAAAGCACATTTTCCAATCATGTAATACCCCTTATCATAAACAAATATTATATTTACTTATATTTATTTAATGTCAGTAGCACCTGACTAAATAACAAAGAATAATACAAAAGCTTAATGAATAATGAACTGGAGGACATGAAAGGAAATGCCTATTCCTTAATTTGAGGCAAAATCCAGGCATTTGCCAGCAGGGCCTGAGAAAAATGATCAAAACCTGTGATAATAGCTAGTGTCCTGGCTAAGATTTGAACCTGAGGCCTCCCAAATTCAAAGCATCAGTGCTAACCACTTTACTGCAACATTCAGTACACATACTTTTTCATATATGTACTTCACTGTCCAAGCATGAAACATGTTAGGGAATTAAGCACACAAGAATGTATTACATTTGTTCATAAGCTGTATTAAATAGCTGATGATAAATACTTTTGATATATCCTGTGCCATAAATGCAATTCCACAGCTACAGAAGAGGTTAAGGCACCAATAAATTATTATTATGCAACCTTGAGAAACCCACAGCACCTGTCATATATTTAGTAACATTTGGCACTTTTGCAACATGTAGAATATCAGTGTATAATTGGCCATATGTTGTGCAAACAAACAACACAAGGAATACTACACATTCATAATTAACTGTGCAAATACCCTTTTATTTCTTTTAGTCAAGTGTGAACTTATTTACCGAAGTATATAATAATTTTGAAGGAATGTCTAATTCTCATTTATTATACATCATCATCTTGGTTCCAACCATCTTCATCTGACAAGAATCTTCGTTTTGCGGTTGTGTTCATATATGGTCGCAATGCCCATTCAGTATCAGCTGCATCTGCATGGTCCAATGTTCCTAGCTTTATTTCATACAATTTTAACTGGAATCGTGGCCCAACTTCAGATAACTCAACATCCTTTCCATTTATTTTCTTGTATGTGTGATGTCGAAATGAGATGTAATCATCATGATTAGCAAAGGTGATGACTCGCCGACTATCCTCCTTAGGTACAGGAAACAAATATTTCAGTATATCTGAAACGCGATTACCAAGGGCAGTTTTGAAGTTGTGGAAAATAAGATGTGGATACTGTTCAGACATAGTGCCAATGTCAGGTATGTCATGCCTCATAACAACATCAGTCATAGTGAAGTAGGCAGTTGGTCCATATGGGAGATGACACACAATGAAACTATCTGGAACACCACGATGTTCATGAACAACAATAAAATCTGTCACATTATTAGCACTGCAAGCATGGAGAAGCTGTTTCATTTCATAATTTCCACGATTCATGCGCTGGGAGTTGGGAAATATCAGCCGGAGCTCCTTCACAAACATTTTAAGGCGAGATGATGGATCACGTGAAGTTGTTATCATTATTTTTGGATCTTCAACACCTGCCCATCTGTACTCATCATCTTCATGTTTACCACCGCCTCCGCCTGCTTCTGTACCTAACGCAACAGCAAGTTCTGGCCCTCTGTCTTCCCATTCTAATTTTTTCTGAAGAACCAACGCATTCCGTCTCAAATCCGTGTGTATTGTGAGGTTTTCTTCCAAACATAGTTTTAACCTATCTTTCTTGTCTTGAATTTTTCGTTTCTTTCCTTCGATTGCCTTTCTATGCAGATATTCTCGTCTCAAACGTGCCTGGCGACGTAACATTACTTCCACCGAAATAAATTCGCAAATACTCCATACATAAACTGCCTACAACTACAAACACCACATGCCAAACACGGTTCGATGGAGAACAATATGGCCATCAACTTTGCTATCGATTAAAACTAATTTAGATATATCGAAAGCGTTTAACTGCTGTGAGGTTATGTTTCAATCAATAACATTTCAAGAGATAAATCTAATCAACGATGAATAACTATGCATTAGACTTAATTACCTTCTTGTTTCATGCGTTTTTGCTGAAAACTGTCGAATACATCATTGCCGTCGATATTCTTCTTCCTCTTCGGCGTCTTTTCCATTTTTACGCTTCAATTCTGTATTTTAAAGCAGTACTAAAGATCCTACTTAATATTTAGATAATACGTATTTTAACTGCAAGAATTAATTTGCACGACAATACAGTACACTACCTTCACATAATTATACTTTCAAATTGTCTTAAACTATCATTCAGCCACTGCCACAAATAAACAGTAGTTTATCCGTGCTCCCTTCGATATCGATATCGATGGAGACGCTAACAGGCTAACGGGTTTGAAGTCCGCGATCGTTTGAACTTCAACGAACTGCAATAATGGCGTATATTAGTTGACATATGTAGTGTTTAAATAGCTAGATCATTGTAGTGCTGTAGAATACAGTTAACTTAAATTTTTGTCATTGTTCCTCAGTTACGAAATTTAAACTGTGTGTATGAAATATTTTCCTCTAGTTGGGCTTTGTGCAATTGTCTAGAGATGGAAACCACGCAGTCTGAAAATAACGTTCAAGGGAACTGCAATGACAACAGTGCCCAAGAAGCAGAAGATCGGAATGAAATATATCAAGTATGTTCTGCAAGGCTATCGCATAATGATGTCTCGCCATTGCGGAGAGGTTCATCAGGACTGTTTAGTGCTCAAAATAATGGGCTAGAAGACATCCATGAGGAAGATTATGAAGATGAATGTGTTCATTCAACACACAATCCACCGCCTTGCACAACTTTTACAGTTCTACCTTCACACACTACCCCTCCGTCAAGACAATATAAAGTCCGAAATCCATTTGATGCTGCATTAATCAAAAGACTTTATCTTCCCATTCTTAGTCCATCTGTTTTTAAAAAGGTTGTAAGCCCAACACAGGTAAGATATTTAATACATAATTGAATAACCAGATCGTTGATAGTATAACTTTAAAATTTACAATTTGTAAAGTAAAACCAGCCATTGTACCACACCCTGTGACATTTTAAGTTAATCCACATTGCCACAACATATTTCCTGGGATGCTATTGTATTTAATCTCCATCTTCAGAATGGTAAATCAAGGGGCATGATGTGTCATATAGAGGTCACCAGCATTTTCTTACACTGGTTTTTAGCTTAGCTTTTAAAGTTGTTTTTTTTTTTTGTCAAACACTTCTTCCCTGTGTAGTTGATAGATTATTTTAACTCAGAAGAATGGTATGCTCCTTCAGTATGATAGCCTCCTACCCCAAAGAGATTTCTGTGCCAGAATTCATAATTTATTTCTTTGGTCCCAATATTGAGCTACTGGTACACACTGGGCCTCATTACAGAACTAACCCAGTATTTGCATGGAGGGGCTTAGGACAACTACAAAAAGTCTCAGTCATGATATGCAGTGTTTGAATTGAGGCAACAATTGCAAATGGAAAGAAGACAAGGAACATAACAGCAAGAAGGAATAAGAATTTACACTTGTTACAGGCACATACACACTAGGGGAACCATACATAAACAACTATGTATGTATGTATGTAAGGGGTGGGTCATTCCCACCGCAGTGGCCTGGATTCGATCCCGGGTCCGGTCAAGTGGGATTTGTGGTGGACAAAGTGCCGCTGGGACAGGTTCTCTCTGAGTACTTCGGTTTCCCCTGCCAATCTTCATTCCACCAATTGCTCCACAATCACCCTCACCTATCATCTGGGGCTGGTACAATAGGCCAGAAGTGACCACAGTACAAGGGACTTTGTCCCACCCCACTAGCAATAAAAAAAAGGGCTGGGCCATAAAAATTGGCCCCAGCACTGCGACCTTCAGTGATCTATTGTGCTTATACATAAACAACTAAGTGTCAATGCAGGAAGACAGCAGTTTCCTCACCCACACCTGATAATGACCACTTTGGTTGAAACATGTTGTAAAAAACTTTTAAAGTGACTGGCTTTTACTGCGTTTTAATAAATTGTTGCATATAAGACTGTATAACTAATTAATACTGTAACGTGTTTCGTTACTGAAGACGCCGTAGAGATGGTTAATTGGTTTATTTAACAACCTACAAATAACGGCTACAATTAATTATAACACAGTTGTGGGGTTTCACATTTTATAACCCTAATCGCATTAATCTGTTAACACTGTTGCGGGGTTTCACACTTTATAACCCTATGCGCAAATCAGCTCACTCTGCCTTCAGTAGTCTACACGTTTACAGTAGGGGAGCTATGTATCACTGTATCACACACTCCCAATTACACAATCACACACACGTCCGGTTCTTCTACCCGCGACGGCTGCTATACTCCAACAGTAGTCGGCTGACTGGAGAACTCTTGATAACACACTCGTACGCTTGCTAGGAACTATCTTCGGCGATGGCCACGTTATAACTCGACTCGGCGACTGTTACTTTAAAACTCGGCGGCTGTCACAGTACAACTCGGAAATGTCTTCGGCGATATCCACGGTATAACTCTTCGGTAGCCACATTAGAACTGACTCGTAGCTGCTGTGCAGTTCTCTTATATATCCGCAGTGGTGCCTGTTGCGTTCCACGTCACAGTAGGAAGTTGATTACGGGTACGTAGCGTTGCGCGTTACGTCACCGCGGAGTGGTGGGAGGGAGCACTATGTTACCGCCACGCGCCTGTGGCCTGAGTTGCCACGTTGCTGCTGGGTAGGGAGGGGTTCTCCGTTGCGCAACATGTTACAATACTAACTCAATCATGATATTTAGTTTCATATAATTACTTCATATAATTTTTGTATTTGATATTGATTTGTTCAGTGTTGATCTGTTTTAACTCTTTCTATGGTAGTTTTATTTAAAGAACCTTATTCTGTTAGAATATTTCCATGGTAATATGTAATTCCAATTGTTTAAGGCCACAAATTTTTAACTGTTGAACGGTGATAAGAGATGTATCACTGATCCTTATCTCAGACACAAAATAAATCTGGTCCTTGAAAAGGTTGTTCTTTCTGAGTGGACTAGCTCATGAGTAGTGTGGAAAGGGTAAACATATCTGTTGAGATTATGGTCTCCTGGATGTGACCATGTGATATATGTTGATTAATACACTTGAGTCTGTTTCTCAGGCAACATTATTATTGAAGAAAGCAGTCTTCTTGGATGTGGTGCTGTGTAGATGTGGTGATAACCGACGTTTCGGAGGAATGTATCGCCTCCATCTTCAGGGTAGAAGACAAGAAGAAATCCGCGAGCAAACCAGCTAGAGCAAGTGCAACAGTCTATTGCACATTCCTCCGAAACGTCGGTTAACACCACATCTACATGGCGCCACATCCCAGAAGACTGCTTCCTTCATAGTCACCACTGTGAAAACCTCAAATCTTACAACATTGTTATTATTTATATAAAAATGATTATCTGGGTACAATCACTTTTGTTTGCAATTTATGGTCCCTATATTCAGTGAAGTTTCTGTTTTGTTGATAAGACTAATTGTGGGTATCCCAAGCAAATGTGAAGATCTCCAAAACTTTTTTTTTTTTTTTTTTTTTTTTTTTTTTTTTTTTTTTTTTNGCAGTTCAACCCCAAATTTGACAGTCATATTAAGTGTGTATTTTATATGACCAAGATTTAATTTCCTCAGTATGAGAACACAGTAATAATTCTACATTTCACATGACAGCATGCATTTCTTAACCAGCAAAGTAACTGTTTCCTTTTGGTGAAAGAGCCTGTACCTTGTTGATAGTTACGAGAACATGCATTATTAGAAATTATTTTTGTAAGTTGTCTGTATACAGTGGTTGTGATTAATTTCTCTGTGTTTTTTCCATTTGATTGTCTTGAAATCTGAGATTCAACTTAACAATATATAAAATTTCGTTTTGTACCTGATAGAAAACATTCTGTCTCTCCATAACAAAGACCATTCTATTAATACTGTTTTGGAAATAGTTGTTGTTTATTCCAAGAATCATATAAAATCCATAAATATAATGTATGGGCAAAATGTAGGATTTTTTTTAAAGATTAAAGCAGATGGTATGTATATGCAGTAACCACTGCACATTAAAGGGTTAATTTGGTATGAAATATCAATACTGTAATTAAAATGTTGCTGTGAAGGCTGTAATGGATCTCGAGTGTTCTCACGAAGCTGAAACTTTACTTTGAAATGTAGATGTTGAATAAACACGATACTTGAAGAGCACACTCTTCTGTGTTGCTCCTTACTGCATGCTTCTTGATGATGTCTTGACTAACTCTTCAACACTGCAGATAGAAGGAATAGGTTCCTCCAAAACATCAGTGGACTTCTACTAAATTATATGGCATTACAGCTCAGAAGATGGTACTCTTCATGGTTACTACTGCAAAAGACTTAAAATCCAACATGAGATTTATTTGCACATTCTGTACCGAGACTGGCAGCAGTGTGAGTTTGGCTATTGGGATTATGTCAAGATTTGTACAGGTTCTACAGATTATAGTTTTGTTGGCTTATAAGAAGGATGTTTTTATGTCACCCTAATGCTACACAATAATAAGGGAATGCTTTTAAGATCCAATTTTTAAGAATGAA